AGGAACAATAAGTTTGACTGAATTTGTTGGATAAATGTTTTTACTTCATATTATTTTTCTCTTAAAGTTTATGTTTAAAAATGAAGAGAATCTGTTCAGTGATGTGTTCAAGTACATCAGGAAACGACAGACTTTTGTTTGACTGACTGTTGTTGCACTTTTTCAATCATTAAAACCAAAAACAATTGAAATAGAAATCACGTCCAGTGAAGAAGAATTTTTTAAATGTGTTTTCAGGTTTAACTGAAACTCCTGTTGTGCTACAGCGCCACCTACTGCTTCACTTGTGCTTCGACTACAGTTTTGGTCATGAGATATTTGTTCATCTGTTTCTGTCTATCCTTTTGTAGAGGAGCGGTTCCCAAAGTGGAGGGCAGGACCCCTCTGGGGGCCCACAGACAGCCACATGAATTAGATTTGGTTTTTAATTTATTTAATTTGTGCCACAGTGAAAACTGTTTTGTTCTTTCAGCAACTTTCTAGAAATTAATGTTTTAATTATTAATAAATGTTCCAGTATCAACGCAGAAGCTGGTATTAACTTGACAATATACCTATGTACAAAAGGGGGCGCTGCAGAACAAGTGTGGGAACCACCGCTCAGTGAAAACCATGTCCTGTCAACGTTAAGATACTGGACAGACATTCAGGACGGGGGGGGCGGGGGGTGCACCGGTCTGGGTCAGAGGTCAAACATCACCTGTTTCAGGAAGACTTCAGCATTGGATTAAATGCATTTAATACTTAACAGTAGATGTCGCTAATCTATCGTTACTGAACTGTCGGAAAAAACACGTAGTAACATGCGCTAGAAAAAGGAGGAAAAAGGAGGAAAAAGGAGGAAAAAGGAGGAAAAAGGAGGAAAAAGGAGGAAAAAGGAGGAAAATGGAGGAAAAAGGAGGAAAAAGGAGGTTACGTCCACGGGAATAAAAACAGAAAATCATGCAGATTTAGTCTCCGCACGACCATGATAAAGATCGGACGTCAACAGACGATTGTTGCTAAAGATCGGACGTAGATATTGCAAACATTCAGCTCGGGGGGGGGCGGGCGGTCGGGGGGGGTCGACTGAGTATGTGTGTGTGTGTGTGTAGCTATACTTGTGGGAGCATTTGTTTGGACAAACATTGTCGTTGTTGCGGGGACACCTGTGTTGGAGGGGACACTTTGTCCTCAACAACTGACAGGATATTTTAAGTTTCAAGATTTATTTTTGGTTAGAACCAAATTAAATGTGCGAAAGAGGAAATCCATCCAGTGATGTGGACGTTTTTTTCCGGACGGAGGGTGATGTGAGAGAGGTGACCACAGGACCAATACTGAAAAGGTAGAGTTTCTCCCAGAATCCTCCTCTCTCCTGGAGACGTGGCTGGTGATACAGGCAGGAGGCCACAGCAGGTGATACTGTCCAAGAGGCATCGTGGTGAAGTTCCTGTCTCTTTGTTGAGGTCAAGACAAGAGCCCTAGAGACAGACAAAGACTGGGGGGGGGGAGAGACCACCACCTCCACTCCAGTGTGGGAGAACAAAAAGAGGCCGCCTCACAGAGAGTCGGGTCTTCGTCCACAGAGGCGGTCTTCGTCCACAGACACAGTCTTCGTCCACAGAGACAGTCTTCGTCCACAGAGAGTCAGTCTTCGTCCACAGAGACAGTCTTCGTCCACAGAGACAGTCTTCGTCCACAGAGACAGTCTTCCCTGTCACTCAGGCACTTCCCAGGATTGGACTTTGGCTGAAGGTGAGTTCCACAGGATATGGGGAGGTGGGGGTGGGGGGGCAGCGGGCTGTGATATAACAGGCCAGTGACAGAGAGAGTCCGTGTGCTTGTGAGGTATGCCCCCCCACCCCTGCAGATTATTAATCTGTGAGTGAACACCACAGCCACCCAGGTTGGTGGGTGGATGAGTCAAAGAGCGCCCCCCTCTGTCCTGAATCAGGGATCAGAACCTGAGAGTCTTAGCCTGGTCCAGCAGCTGACCTCAACATGATGGGGGCGGTGGTCGGGGCGGTGGTCGGGCGGGTCCTTCAGGGCCTGTGTTCAGTCTTTGTGGTTGTTGACGTGGGCCTTCTGCCCCCCCGCCCTGGTCAGGACCTTGTAGCAGCCCCGGGTGATCTTGTACATCCAGATGGTGTTCAGGATGTCCAGGGCCACGCAGGAGCTGATCCAGGCCACCTGGGCCCCCACCCCCAGGCGCTCAAACTCAGGGGTGCCAAAGGTGACCAACACGCTGGCCCAGTACGACGGCATGACGGCGATACGCACCAGGAAGAAGACTACGGACATCAGGACACCGTTTAGCACCACCAAGTGGTGAGAGCGTGGAACTTTCAACGCCTCGAAAAACCACCTGAGGGGGAGGAGGGGGAGAGAGAGGTCCAATTATTTCATAAAGTAATCACATCATGGTTCAATGTAATGTGGGGGGGTGGGGGGGGGGGGGGGGTCAGGTAACGACCACCTGTTAGAATTAGAGAGAAAGTAAAACGACGGAGACCAAGTCCTGGACTCACCGTTGGTTCACAAACGGAGTGGACAACTCTGAGATGAGACGAAAGTTGGCGAAGTAGGGAAGAACGCCACGGGTCTGGAACCACACGCACACACACACACACACACACACACACACACACACACACACGTGGGTGAACTGACGGAGGACAGAACCATTTCAACGTCTGCTCTCAGAGTCCAAATACTCACCAACACGTATCCATATGCATACAGCGCCGCCAAGTGGTGGCAGACAAAGAAGCCGTCTCCCATTGTAGTCCAGTTCCGGGCCAAGAGCATCAGGTCTGAGGAGCAGAAGGTCCAGTGACCGGATCAGAACCTGAGTCGGAGCTTTTACAAAGTTTTCTTTGATATAATCTTCACTTTGATCATTTTTTGTGGCTGGTTTTTTGTTTTTTTTCAACAGAGTAATGAACCCCTCCAGCCGACGACAACAACAACAACAACGACAACAACAACAACAACAACAACCTGGTGTTGGTCTGAGTGAAGACTCACCGTACAGAAGGTAACCACAGGTTATGGCCACATTCAGTTTGACGGTGGTGGGGTCGCCCCTGGGGGAGGGCAGAGAACAGAGGGTTAGAACCAGCACCCTGACACCACCTGTCACTCCACCTGTCACTCCACCTGTCACTCCATCATATCCTTCTGATCAATAATTCCATGATCCATGTTTCCAAACTCTGATAATAACATGATCACATCAAGAATCATGGAGGACGGTCGTTCAAGGTCGTTGCTGTCCGTGTTTTCAACTCATCTAAGCTTTAATCTGAATACTGGTTGTAGCCGTCGAACTCCACCTCACTGCCGTTGTCGTAGCAGACCTCGGTGGGGTTGGCGCAGTACTTGTTGTCAAAGACCTGGCGCGGCAGCCCGTAGGAGGTCATGCCCTTCTGGGAGGCCACTTTGTTGGTGCCCATCTGCAGAGAGATGGTGGTGGTGTCACAGACCTCCAGCTCCAGCTTCTTGTCAAAGATGTGCCTCCTGGTTCCTGGAGCCGTCAGGTCTGTTTAAGGTCGTTCAGGGTCAGAGGTCGGAGGTCGGACGCTCGCGTTTAGGACGAGGCATAGATTAAACGGAGCCGAGTTCATTAGTGGTGAACATGTAACGTCCAGCAGAGTGACTGACAGAATCCACAGAACCAGAGGTGGCGCTGCTGAGCCTTTGATGGCCAGGCCGGGACCATCTGTTGAAAACAACAACCGTGTCTGCTTCAAAAGAACATCTGATCCCAGTATCAGCCGCAAGTATCAGCTAGCTAATGACCGACAGAACGCTGGTGTAACAGATACCCACAACACACACACACACACACACACACACACACACACACACACTACAGCGTCTCGTCTTTCACACTACGATGACCAGGTCACAGTGTATCCTCCAGGTGGAGCCGCTCTGTCTTCACCAAGTTCATGTCTTCAGATTAGCATTTGTCAGAAACATCCTGGCTCCGACAGCAGACCAACCGTGGGTCAAACGAGGCCCCGCGCCGTCTTCCTCTGCCGTCCAACGGCAGATCAAACGGGACTCGATCCAATTACTGCAGAATACACCCCCACACTGTTCTGTTTGACTGATGCTAACCCACGCAGTTCACCGCCCAGACCGCCAACGGAGCGTTGACTTCTGATTTATACTAATATATATATATATATATATATATAGAGAGAGAGAGAGAGAGAGAGAGAGAAACCACCCAGTTTTAAATGTATAAATGGATTCAATCAATTATAAAACGTTCTGTCTGTGCATTTTCTAAAAGAAGACGTTTCACCTCTAATCCTTCTTCAGATTCATCGAGACGTCATTTCTGTCCGACTTTAAAGCAACGTGAAATGACAAAAGTAAAACTTCAAGAGTGGAAAACCTCGGAGCGTTTGTGTGACCAATGCAGCGTGACAAGTCATTCCTGTTCTTAAAGACAGGGGGCAGAGCGTCCTCACAGCGTGATGAAGGTCACAGTAACCACCGAGTTTCAGTATATGTTGAATACAGATCTTCAAATCAAAGATCTAATCTGACTCTCTGCCCTTTGTTGTTGTTTTTGATCAAATATAATCTGGATTATTCCTGATGAACAGTGATTGGTCCAGAGTCATTGGACAAATATTTATGTGTTTGTTTGAGAGAGATAAAGGCTGGCAGCAGATGCAGAGAGAGAGTGGGGGGGGTCTCCCCATGCCTCCCCTCTTCTCCGCCTTTTTCCCTCTTTACTCCATCTCTGCTGCCGTCCAGGGCTGACACAGAGACAATGGCAGTGAGGGAGGGGGGCTGCACTGATTGGACAGCCCTGAGACGTGGACTTCAGATACAAAAGACACCGAGAAGTAGTGACGAGAGGGGAGACCACATGAGGAGACAGAAGGGTGAGGGAAAGTGGAAAAAGGGGGGAGGCCAAAGAGGCCATGAAAGGAGCCTTGTTGGTGAGGACGGGTGAGTCGACCGGGGGG